CAGCTGTAATCCCAGTACTTTGGGAAGCTGAGGCAGGAAGATTGCTTGAGCCCAGGAGTTTGAGACCAGTCTAAGCAATATGGTGAGACCTCATCTCTACAAAAAAAAGTAGCTCGGCATGGTGGTGCGCACCTGTAGCCCCAGCTACTTAGAGGACTGAAGCAGAAGGCTCACCTGAACCCAGGAGGTCGAGACTACGGTGTGCCATGATGGTGCCGCTGCTCTTCAGCCTGGGTGACAGAGTGAGATCCCTACTCAAAAAAAAAGGAAAACTTGCAGGAATGAATATGCTGTACTCTAATTTGAAGGTAGCAGATCATGGTACTCTGCGCGTGAGTCACTGCTCTCTGAGACCGGATCAGCTGGGTGGAAAAGGAAACTAGGGCCTGTGAGATGAGGCTCAGGCTTAAACCCAAGCCCAGCATTAGCCATGGGCCTCCATCCAGGACCTCCTGGGCTGACAACCTGGAAGATTTTCTTTCAGTGAAACGATACAAGCTTTAGGGTCAAGAGGAAGCCCAGGACGTTTCTGAAGATATGCTTAGGGCAGTGCTACTCAAAGTCTTTCGGATCTCCACTGAGATGAGAACAGAAACTGAGAATAAGCATCTTAACACTTGCAGTAGCACATTAACAAAGTAATTTTTATAAAAATGTACTGGGTTTGTATTTTTTATGTCTTTATTTTATATTTAAGTTTTCTAATATTTTTAAAAGTATTAGTCCGTAGCAGAATGGAATTTTTTTTTTTTAAAGGCTCTACATGCCAGGTGCAGTGGCTCACGCCTGTAATCCTAACACTTTGGGAGGCCAGGGTGGAAGGATTGCTTGAGCCCAGGAGTTCAAGACCAGCCTGGGCAACATAGCAAAACCTACAAAAAAATTTAAAAAATAAACCAATCATGGTGATGTGTGCCTGTAGTTCCAGGTACTCAGGAGGCTGAGGCAGAAGGCTGACCTGAGTCCAGGAGGTCAAGCCTACATTCCAGCCTGGGCAACAGAGTGAGACCCCTACTCAAAACCAAAACAAACAAACAAACTAAAAAACATGACCCTTCACCGTAGAAGGCTTTCACAACACTTCAGAGAGCCCAACTCGAGCTGCTAAAAAGAGACAACCACCCTATCACACCCCTGAATAATTTTCTAGTACACACATAGGTAGGAAAGGATAGAAGAACAGGGAAACCTTGACTGTGAAGGACAGGATGACTAACGATTTAAACAAAGATCCTAAGAACAGAAATCCTTGGGGAGTCCCAGCCTCTGAGCCCTGAACAGTCAGCAACTCACGGGAACACAGAAACTCTGCAGAGACTCAGAGACTCACTCCACCCCTGCCAGTGGCACCCCTCACTCAATGCATACACACAACAGCAAGTCTAGAACGGACCTCAGGACAAGGGGAGCTCAGGTGGCCACAGTGAAAAGACAATGTAAAACCACTCAGAATTGCCCAAGTTTTCAGAGGAGAAACACAAAGAGAGAACCACAGTTAACCAGGCTTGATCCAGCCCAAATCAGCTGGCCTTGATGGAGGGAGGCTTGGGGCACCGTGGGTTTCTATTTATGGATAACTGTGAGTTGGCCACTCGGTTTCTCTGAAAAATGCCTGGTTACTCTGAAAAATGCCTGGTTACACTAGCATACCGTTGGTGTCTTTTTTGGAAAGCAATTGATAAAATCTATCAAAATGTAAATTGTGAATACTCTTTAATGCAGCAGTTTAGATTAGAAATTCACCCTACAGTTATACTCTGAAAGTAAGTAAGACACACATAAGACACTCTAAGTATTCACAGACTCTTTCTGAGAGAATAAACTGCATAAAGCTTAAATGTCCTATTGATTGATTGATTGGAGACAAGGTCTTGTTCTGCCTTTTAGGCTGGAGTATAGCGGCATGATCAACTCACTACAGTCTCAAACTCCTGAGCTCAAGTGATCCTCCTGCATCAGCCTCCTGAGCAGCTGGAACTGCAGGCTTGCACTACCATATCAAGCTAATTAATTTATTTTTTGAGTTCAGGTTTCACTCTGTCTCCCAGGCTGGAGTGCAGTGGCACGACCATGGCTTACTGCAGCCTCGATCTTCTTGCTGCCTATTTTCTTCCTTCTGCCTCAATCTCCTGAGTAGCTGAGACCACAGTCACATGCCACCACACCCCACTAATTTTTACATTTTTTTGTAGAGATGAGGTCTCGCTATATTGTCCAGGTCTTAAACTCCGGGGCTCAAGGAATCCTCCCATCTCGGCCTCCCAAGAAGTTGGAATTGCAGATGCAAGCCACTGTGCCTGGCCTAGTTTGATTTTTTAAAGTAAAATATGGGTTAAATTAATATGGAGAAAGGTGTCTAATGCATCAAGAACTACAAGAAATGACTACAAATATCAGTCAGTCATAGACATAGCCTGACACGAGGGGTTGCACAAAAATCATAGTGTCCTCAAGCTCGCGAGCCACTGGCAAAGAAAAAGCCCGGCAATTCCTAGCATGCTCTCACCAATGACTCATGAATATCTTGTAGTAACAAGTGTTACCAGCCTCAGGGGACCCCCATAAAGCCCGGTGAAACATGCAGCAGAGGACCCAGGGCTTCCAGGGCTCATGGCCATCACTGGGTGAGAAAGCCCAGAAACAACTGCCCTAGTGTCTAATGACTATGGGGAAACAGGATGAGAGGGAAGGAGATTTGGTTTGGTGACTTAAATAAAAAATGGTTGCCTGGCCTGCTTCATAAAGACAGGGAGTGTCTTGGTGACCAGGAGTGCTATTGACTTTTACAAATGGGACATACAGATTTCCTGTTTAATTCACCCACACAAATGCTGATTCACTATGATACCATCAGTTTCAGAAATATTGTTATAGGTTCTATATAATGAGCACATATATACATGCACACATACGTATATCATGCTCTGTGCTCTCAGGCAGTGGGAGCTGGGGTAGGAGACTGCCTTGTCCCCTTTGGAGTTTCCAGTTCAGCATATCATACACTACAAACACTCTTGGCCGAAGAGTATTTTCAGTGTTATCCCTGAGTTGAGTATGTTCTGCAAAACACATAGTTTACTCCATCGCGGTCTTGCTTTCTGCCACTTACTTTATCTTTTTTTTTTTTTTTTTTTTTGAGTTGGAGTCTCACTCTGTCGCCCAAACTGGAGTGCAGTGGCCGCTCCCGGCCACTGCAGCCTCGCCTGCTGGGCTCCAGCGATCCTTCCGCCTCAGCCTTCCAAGTAGCCGGAATTACAGGCATGCGCTACCACGCCCGGCTGATTTTTTGATTTATTGTAGAGATGAGGTCTCGCCGCCCAGGCGGGTCTCGAACCCTTATGGAAATGGTGGAGGAGGCACATGGCGTAGATCCGGAAGCCACAGAGACAAGTGCACGCCCTTTGCAATCCTAGGCAGCATTGTAAGGCTGGGAGAGATGGCCAAGGGGATTTGAAAGGGGCATCAAGGTAGGAAGCCAGGATTCAGTTTAGAAAGACTCAAAGAACAAGCAGTGCTTCTTAACGTCTGTGCACCTTTTATGTTATGGCTTATCTGACAGATGTGTTGGAGGTCCTTGGGGAGCCAGGAGTGGTGGGTAGGGGACATTCAAGCACAGAGCCACCCTTACAGGGACACCTGAATACTTGGGCCTCCTAGTGTGTGGAAAGCAACCACATCTCCTTCTAACCAGGGTGGGCCCGCTCAATGACTGTGACATCACTGCAAACAGTAGCAAGAAGCAGAGACAACAGTCTTTTTCAGAATTCTCTTTGGGGGAAGCCATGTGGGAAATGGGAGGTTTTGGAGTTAGGGGTTAGACCCCAAGAGGCAGGCTCTAGGACACCGCCTGATGGGACAGGTGGGTACCTGTCATCGTGGAGTCTTTGCTTTGCTGTGAGAAAGCTGCAAATTTAAGGCCAGCAATGCATTCTCTGGAGGTATGGAAAAGGCTGAGCCTCCCCACCGCCCTGCTGTGCCCTTCCTTTTCTTATTTAGAGTACTCAGCCTTTCCTCTAGGCAAATATTGGACAAATATTTCAAAACCACCCGTTTAAAAAGTGTCAAATTATTATCCTGCCTCCACCTGGCCCCGGGCATGCCTGTGGTGTGTATCGTGTCCTTTCTTTGGTTGGGCAGGAAGTAACCAGAGTCACAGGGCCCTGCAAGTGGAAATGGCCGGCTGCCCAAAGGGCACTTCCGGTGTCAGCCATCTTGGGAGGAGCTCAGACTGGAAACCACAGGGTGGGCTAATGGTCCTTTGAAATGGTAAAGCAGGGTGGCTCTTTGTCTTATTGTGGGCTAAATTAGGAGAAGGGTAGATGTTGGCAGGTGGTGTTGGCCACAGGGAAGTGGGAGTTGGGATGAGATGGAATTTTTCAGCTGAGAGAAGGCAAGCCGTGGTGGCTGGCCGCGGCATCTTTGAGCGACTCCCATGAAGAAGATGGTGGAGACAGTCACTGTTGAGAGGGAGTGACGCTCTTACCATACAGAAATTCCTTCTCCCCAACAACTTCAGACATCTTAGAAATATTGCTTCTAGACTGACACCTTAGAAACCAGAAGTCGTTTACCGACCACCTACACACCGGTCAATTCCTGAAGGACTGAAAAGCGTAGTTCCCTACTGTAGACAGGCTGTGTCCTCTTGAGTCTCACAGGACAGGTCCAGGCTTTGCTACAGCAAATGGTGTCAGTACCTACAGTCCAGGTATGTCCAGGGCTCAGTTGAATTCTTGGCCTCCTCCATGCTCAAATGTGAGGGTACACCTCTAGGCCAATCAAGCACTGAGCTTCCCAGTGACATCCTCCCACCGGTCAGACTGGAAATACTAGAAAAGAAGTGGCAGCTGCCCATAGAGGCAGTGTCAGTATTTTCTTTCCTTTTGGCCAGTTCGGTTTTGACTAGAAACTGGAATAATAATTATAATGATACATGTTTACAGATTTTTAGCTAATTAATCCCTTGGCGTCTTCTTTTGGGGGGAAAGCATTCTACCCACCTCATACATCAGGAAACCAAGAGGCCATATGGTTTGGCTGGGCTGGGTGGTCTCTGGTGTCAGTAGGAGAGTGGAGAGCACAGCTTCAACAGTTCTTGACTTCTTGGCCTGTGTCCAGATTGCTGGGCCTTGCAGCCCCTAGAAAGGTGACACATGAGAAAATGAAGTGGACCAGACCATAAACTACCAGGAGCAGTTTCCTCTAGTTAGGAGGGCAGGCCTTGTGGCCCTGCCAGTGACTGTTTCTCTTGGAGGGACTGGCTTGAAGAGGAGGAAAACCATTACTATGGGAGTGTTTTGCCCACCTTGAATTACCAGCTAAAACAAAACACTCTGTAAAGAAACTCCCCTTCAAGGAAAACTCCAAGTTACTATGAAGATTTCATCCTTCCCTTTTGAATCCCAAGGACTGCAGCTATATCATGCAACATTGGTCTGGAAAAATATTTGTCCGCAGAAACACCCACATGGGTGTTGGGGACACCAGTGACAGGGCAGAGGGGTGGGGCCTGCACAGTAAATCTTAACTAAATCCTTCAAGCTGAGTCCTGACCTACTTGTTAAGAATCCTCTTAGCCAGACACGATGGCTCATGTCTGTAATCCCAACAGTTTGGGAGGCCGAGGCAAGGGAATTACCTGAGGCCAGGAGTTCAAGACCAACCTGGGCAACAGAACTGGGAGAACTGGTATCTATAAAAAATGAAATAAAGAAATTAGCTGAGCATGGTGGCACGTGCCTGTAGGCTCGGCTGTTGGAGAGGCTCAGTCAGGAAGATCACTTGAGCTCTGGAGTTCAAGGCTGTGGTGAGCTATAATTGCACCACTGCACTCCAGCCTGGGTAACAAAGTGAGACTCTGTCTCTAAAAACATAAAAATAAAATAAATAGTAATAATGAAAATAAAGAAAGAATCCTCTTAACCCTTTCTAATAAGAGGTAAGTAGGTTTTCTCCTGATTCTATCTTCTCTATTGCCCGCAATGTTTTTCTCAACAAGTTAGGGTGAAGCAGTGGTGGCTGCAGTTGCGGGAAGAAAAGTAATCAGCTTTTCAGTGGTTGTGGTTATTTCAAGGTAAGGGAAGTGGCAGAAACACAGAGGGAAGCAAGTTTGGGACCCTATAACCCCAGCAGAGGCATGCACATCAGCAAAGAAATCCAGGCTGAGTTCCCAGAGGTCATTGCGTGTGTGTGTGTGTGTGTGTGTGTGTGTGTGTGTGTGTGTGTGATTTTTTTTTTAATAAGCAAGCAGGTATGGCCAGGCACATTGTTTCCATGGTGTGTCAAGGCAGATCACCAGCTCTGAAGCATGGTATTGCCATCCTAATGGATTCCCCCTTAGAACCCCTAACCAGCATTTACTCAGACCTGATCCCACACTGCTTTGGGTCATTGTCCAACTAGTCATATGTGAACGCCTCATTTTCCCAATTGTAGACTTCCTGGTAGTGGGGACCAGAGTTTTCATAATAGATAACAATGAAAATGATTGATCAAAAGAGTTTCCCCTTGGGCATTATCAGCTGAGGGACATAAACTCATTTCAGTCTCCTTTCTATTGCTTGATTTCCTTCCATCAGTTCCAGGTTTCCTGTCCCAGCCCCAACTTCGAGAGTCCTCCTCGATGCAGGAAACACATCTGTGGGCCATGTGTTTCTTTTTTTGCTTCTGCACAATGGTAATTTTTTGGCGGGGGCAGGGGGAGCTACTACAGGAAGCTCAGCAGATTCAGAAGTACAAGGAGCCACACCAAGACCTAGGGTGATATTCCTTGATGTTATCAGCAGGTCTGAACCCAACATCTGCTTAGAGAGTATTGCCCTGAGAAGTGTATCCCAGTGCTAAATTTGGTGGGCCTGTTTTGAGGCGATAGCCTCATATTGAAGTAATTTCTTCCCACCAAAGGGTCTAGAATAGGTTCAGTTGTAATCCGTTTTATGTAGTTGTGACTGCCTTGAGAAACCTGGAAAAGGTTATTGAGAGTGTGTGTCTAGGCATATGGATAACTGTTCCAGCTCAGCAGTTTGTGAGCATCATTAGTAGCCCTTGAAATGGTCCTCCAGGAAGTGCTGGCTGTTAATGACTCTGCCCCGATGCTCCTTTGTAAGCCTAACGAAAAGATAATGTATAACTTTGCAAGTAGGCAAGTGCTATGAATCGATGACTTACTAAGGGACACGGAGATGGTGTGCCATCCTGAACCCAGAAAACATTGCCAAAGGCAAAGTGCAGGATGAACAACTCTTCTATGCTAGTAGAGTGACTTGCCAAGACAGGAGAGAGTGACTCCCTGATAGACTACCATGCTGTGTCTCTTCTACTGGCAGAGAAGGGCCTCACCCGAGGCAGTCAGAAGTGCTAAGGGAACTTTTTTCTTTTTTTTTTTTGAGTCGGAGTCTTACTCTGTTGCTTAGGCTGGAGTGCTCTGACACACTCCTGGTCACTGCAGCCTTAACCTGCTAGGCTCAGGCGATCCTTCCACCTCAGCTTTCCAAGTAGCTGGAACTACAGATGTACACCACCATATCTTGCTAATTTTTAAAATTTATTGTAGAGATGAGGTCTCACCAAGCTGCCCAGGCTGGTTTCGACCCCCTGGGCTCAGGCAATCCTCTCACCTTGGCCTCCCAAAGTGCTGAGATTATAGGCGTAAGCCACCATGCCCGGCCTGTGCTAAGGGAAATTTTATGTGGTAAGGAGAGAGAATCTTTCCATCAATAGCTATTAATTGACTTTCACTCTGTAGGAGGATATTGTACTGTTTAGTGATAGAAAAATGCAATGTATCCTCAGAATGTTTATGATCCACCCAGGGGATAAGGCACAAGATTGAAAAGCTAGTTAAAAGGCAAGGCAATGAAATATACTACACTCTGTGGAATCATATGAGGGGGGTCCCCAGAAAAACTGAATTATCTTTTGGAGGGTGGGCCCCTTGTAGTACAGGCTTCCCCTGCTAGGTAAGTGTTCTAGGAACCCACTGGCATCAGTGTACCAGCTAGCATTGTTGTGAGAGGCTGCATTCGGCTTCAGTGAAAATTTTTTTGGAGATTCTTTCAACGCATTTGCCCATTTCATGATGGGTGATCTACACACGCACCCGCTCACGCTGCACTGAAACTGTTCAGCAGTTTTTAACCAAAAACCATGTCCCACCCTCCCTATTCACCCTATCTCATCCCGAGTGACCTTTTTTTGCTGTTTCCTCGGATGAACAAAGTCCTCAAAGGCAAATGTTTTGCCAATATGGGAGAGATGAAACAAAAAGCAGCAGAAGCACTAAAAGACATCACAATTGACGAATTCAAAAACTGTTTTGAGCAGTGGAAAAAGTATCTCAATAGGAGCCTTGCATCAAATGGAGAGTATTTTGAAGGTGACTGTTGTTAAACATGAAGAATAAATAGATTGGTACAAGAATAGGCACGTAGACCAATGGAACAGGACAGAGATTCTGGAAATAAAAACACCCTCCTTCAACCAACTCATCTTCAACAAAGCCATCAGTAACAGTCGGAATAGGCAATGAATTTATGACCAAATCCCCAAAAGCAAATGCAACAAAAAGCTAAGATAGACAGGTGGGGCCTTATCAAACTGAAAAGCTTTTGCACAGCAAAAGAAACCATCAAGAGAGTAAAAAGACAACCCACAGAATGGGAAAACATATTTGCAAGCGATGTACCTGACAAAGACTTAACATCCAGGATCTACAAGGACCTCAGTGAACTGAAAGGAAAAGAACAAACAACCCAAATTAAAAAGTGGGCAAAGGTCATGAACAGACACATCTCAAAAGATGACACACAAGTAGCCAACAGACACATGAAAAAATGCTCAGCCTCACTAATCATCAGAAAACTACAATGAGATACCACCTAACTCTAGTAAGGATGGCTACCATTAACAAGTCAAAAAACAGCAGGTGATGGCAAGTGTGCAGAGAAAAGGGAATGTTTCTACACTTTGGTGGGAATGTAGACTAGTCCAACCTCTCTGGAAAAAAAGTGTGGCAATTTCTCAAATAACTAAAAATTGAGCTTCTATTCGATCCAGCAATCCCTCTCCTGGGAATATACTCAGGGGGAACATAAATGCTCTACAAAAGAAACACCTGCACATACATGTTACAGCATTGTTCACAATAGCAAAAACCTGGAATCAACCCAGATGCCCATTGAAAGTGTACTGGATGAAAAAAAAAAAGTGGTACACATACATGATGGAATATTATGCAGCCATAAAGAAGAACAAATCATGATCTTTGCAGCAACTTGGATGCCATTGGAAATTATCATACTAAAAGAATTATCACAGGAGCAGAGAACTGAATACTGCATGTTCTCACTCATAAAAGGACCCTGAATACTAGTCGCATTAGCAAAAGGGTGGGATTGACAGATGCAGGATACAACTAGGGGAGGGAGAGGGAAAGTAGGAACAGGCCCACATGGCAACACAATGGGTTCTTGGCCCACTACTAGGGGAGAAGGGCCAGCTAGAAACCCGAACTTCCCCTGCATGCAGCCTACTTATGTTGCAAAACTTTACTTGTACCCCACAACTCTGAAGTAAAATAATTTAAAAAGAATAAATATGCAATTTTTTAATAAATAAATTTCAGGGGTTTTGCCCCCGCCCCATATTCAACCATTAGAGTGAATGAAGTGGATCCAAATGCACTGAGAGTTAAGTGGAAAAATAGTGGTAGCAGAACAAGATATCCTCTATGTGGCTGGGTGTGACGGCTCACACCTGTAATCCCAGCACTTTGGGAGGCTGAGGCGGGAAGATCATTTGAGCCTAGGAGTTTGAGACCAACCTGGGAAACACAGTGAGACCCTATCTCTACAGAGAAAAAGAAGATACATCTATGTAAAAAGTAAACATACACATTTGTGTATGAACGTATGTGTGTATATGAAGGGAGACTGGAGGAAAACACACCAAGAAGGAGCCAGAGGTTCCTTCTGGGGAGGGAAGTGAACCTGGGAAGGGCAGCGAAGGGTATTTTTTATGTTTTTCACCTCACATACTTTTGTGCTGAATACATTGCTTAGAACAAGAAAATATTTATATATTACTTATGTTTAAAAAAAAGGAATAGAGCGAAAAACTTAATAACAAAGCAAGAACATGAT